GGGGGGGGGGGGGGGGGGGGGGGGGGGGGTAATTGCAGGAAGCAGCCCAAGAGCTGGGGGAACAAAGGGAAGAGGCTGGAATGATTAAAACTGAGAAATTTAGAGAAGGGATCCTACGCAGCTGAAGCTCAGAGCTCCACAGAGACACCAACCAACCAGATGTCTCTGAGCTCAGAGGAAGTTCCCAGGGGTCTGAGACCCGAGCTATGGTGGAGGAGGTGTTGCTCAGTGGTCGCTGGTGCTCTGAGTGGCTGCAAAGAAGCTGGTTCTGTGAGCATTAAAAAGAAAAATAAACTGCAGGGCCGGCCCGGTGGCGCAGTGGTTAAGTGTGCACATTCTGCTTTGGCGGCCTGCGGTTTACCGGTTTGGATCCCGGGTGCGGACATGGCACTGCTCATCAAGCCATGCTGTGGCAGGCGTCCCACATATAAAGTAGAGGAAGACGGGCATGGATGTCAGCTCAGGGCCAGTCTTCCTCAGCAAAAAGAGGAGGATTGGCGGCAGATTTTAGCTCAGGGCTAATCTTCCTCAAAAAAAACCCAATAAAGTAAAAAATAAACTGCAAACTAGAATCAACCACAAATTGGAATGAATGACCACTTCCAGGAAGAAGAGCTGTTGGAATGACACTCACAGGAATGTGAAGCAAAGAGCAAGTCCTTTCTACCTCCTTCTGCCCTCCAGTCTCTCACCCGCGCCCCCTACTGGCAGATCCAGCAGGGAGTTCTACAGCAAAGCATATATATCCATTTATTTAATAACTATATATATTCATTTAAAAATAATAACTGACATTATCAAGTGCTTACCACATGCCAACAGCTGTTGTAAATCACGTAATCTAACAACTCTAAGAGGTAGGTGTTATTCTATTACCATTTTACAGGTGAGAAAACTGAGGCACAGAGAAGTTAATTTGCCAAAGTCACAACTAAGAAGAGGAGGAATCAGCGTTTGAATCCAGAGAGCTGCTTGGAGAAGATGCAACTTTAACCACTCTGACAACAAATATTTATTGAACACTATCACTGTGCCAGGTGGTGGAATAAAATGTTGAGCGAAAAAGAGACCTAATCTTGGTCCTCATGGAGCTGATTACCTAGTCGGGGAGACCATTAATCCACTCGCTACAAATGAAAGTAAAACTGAAATTGTGCCTGATGCTCCAAAGGAGAATTGCATCAATCATGAAAGCCTTTTACTTAAGAAAAAAAAAAAAAAAAAAAAGAGGAGAAGTTTGCCTGAGTTGGGGGTTGGCAGTGGGAATGGGGCCAGACCAAGGAGGGACTTGGAGGCCCAGGAGAAGGGAGAGGTTTGTCCTTACCCCCAAAACAATGCGAAGCCACTCAAGGCTTTCCAGCGGGGTACTGAGGGTGGGAATGGTGAACCAGACTGGCTGGAGGGAAGCTGGGTACGACGCTACTGTCCAGGTGAGAGGAAAAGTTGGTACTGAAGATGGAGAGAAATAGAAGGAGTTCAGGCCTCTATTTGTAGTATATATCTAAGATGCTTAGGAGGTAATATTGACAGAATATGGTGATGAATTGGAGGTTGGGGAGGCAGGACTGAGGGAGATGGAGAAATCGAGGATGCATGACTCCTTGAACACTGTTGTCATCCATTGAGCTGGGGGATGGAGAAGGGGTCTGACTGGACCAATATTTAGGCAGTAGAATAGATAGAGCTTGGAACCTGATTGGTACCAGATGCTAAAGGAGATGGAAGCATCGAGTTTACCGAGATATAACTTGATATAACTGCATTATCAAAAGCATTTGCCGCCAGCCGGCTTAAATCAATTAAAATAAAAATTGAAAACTCAGTTCCTGAACTAGCTCCCTGACAAGTGCTCCATAGGCTAGTGGCTACCAAATTGGACAGCACAGAAACAAAACATTTTCATTGCTGCAGAAAGTTCCAATGGTCAGCGTTGCTCTGACAACTGGAAATTACTATGTTTTGCATAAACAAAGCCTATTCGTCTCCAGCTTTGCCTTTAACCCCATGTAACGTTGTTGTCTGGTTTTCTAAGGGTTCAAGGCAGTGCTCTAAACACCAACGCCCCCCATGTGCTGTGCCGAGCTCTAAGGAGGCGTGACTCTAATGCAGCCTGCATCTCGGGCCCATTTGTAAACTGTTTATTACCTGCTCAGGACAACATAAGCAGAGGCGTTGAGAATAAGTTTTCATAAAGTTTTCTAGCAAACTGACATTGCCACAACATTTTTATTGTCTTTTACAAAAGTACCAGTCTGCAATGGATTGGAAATTTAAAATGCCGGTCCTTCGTTATACACTGCGCACCTGCAGAAGTGCTCCAAGGTGCCAGGGTGAGTTGGACCGGGTTCCTGCCCTCCAGGGCTCAGGTCAGGGTGGAGGGAGCCAGGGTCGACATAAGGCCTATTGGAGTTGAGCAAACATTGACATCCGGACTTGATATACATCTGCAAACGATTCCAAAACACATAAAAACACTCACTCACTCCTTTCTTCATGTAGCATTTCCTGAACGCCTGTGATGTGCCAAGCACTGTACTAGGCACCAGGGATACGGCAGGGAGCCAGACAGACAAGGCTCTCAGCCTCTGGAGCTCACAGCTAGTGAGACAGGCTATAAACAAGTTCATCAGAGCGCCAACTGCTATGAGGAAAACCAAAGAAGGGAGGGACAGAGAGTGACTGCAAGATGGGCGCTACTGGTTCACGGGGTGGTCAGAGAAAGACTCTCCAAAGAGGTGTCATTTGAGCTAAAACCTGAGGACGGGAAAGAGCCAGTCAAGAAGTGAGTGGAGGGAACAGCAATCCAGGCAGAGGGAACAGTCAGCATCAAGCCCTTAAGGTGAGAACAAGATCAGCTCGTGTAACAGGAAGGAGGCCAGTGCAGCTGGAGTGTGCGGAACAAGAGGGAGAGTGCCTATAGAAGCTGTGGAGGTGAGCACGGACCAGATCGTGGCGCCCACAAGAAGGGGTCAGGATTTTATCCTAAGTGCGTTGTAATGTTTAAGCAGGGGACCAAGGCAATATGATTTGGGTTTTTATTTTTATTTTTTTTCCAAGGAGGATTAGCCCTGAGCTACCATCTGCCAATCCTCCTCTTTTTGCTGAGGAAGACTGGCCCTGAGCTAACATCCGTGCCCATCTTCCTCTGCTTTATATGTGGGACGCTTGCCACAGTGTGGCTTGCCAAGCGGTGCCATGTCCGCACCTGGGATCCGAACCGGTGAACCCCGGGCCACCAAAGCAGAACATGCACACTTAACCGCTGCACCACTGGGCCAGCCCCTGATTTGGGTTTTTAAAAGATCTCTCTCTTTGGCTGGCCCGGTGGCACAACAGTTAAGTTTGCACATTCTGCTTCGGTGGCCTGGGGTTCACTGGTTCGGATCCCGGGTGCGGACATGGCACTGCTCGGCAAGCCACACTGTGGCAGGCGTCCCACATAGAAAGTAGAGGAGGATGGGCACGGATGTTAGCTCAAGGCCAGTCTTCCTCAGCAAAAAGAGGAGGATTGGCAGATGGTAGCTCAGGGCTAAACTTCCTCAAAAAAAAAAAAAAAAAGATCTCTCTGTTGTGTGGAGAATGGACTGAAGGGAGCCAAGAGTGGACTCAGGGAGACCAGTGGGAGGCTGTTGCAGACATCCAGTTGAGAAAGGTGAAGAGAAGTGCATAGAAGGTGAATCAGATTGAGCCTCTGCTGTCCATTGTCTGGAATAAGGGTTCTCACTTGGGATGACTGGATGGACTTCAGGAGGCTGATGAGGCCCCTGTAATTATATTAAAAATTTTGTGTTTGTGTGCTTAGGAGAGGGTTTTTGTGTGTGTGTGTGTTTTTTTTTTTTTTTTTTTGAGGAAGATTAGCCCTGAGCGAACATCTGCAAATCCTCCTCTTTTTGCTGAGGAAGCCTGGCCCTGAGCTAACATCAGTGCTCATCTTCCTCTACTTTATACGTGGGATGCCTACCACAGCGTGGCTTGCCAAGCGGTGCATGGGTCCACACCCGGGATCCGAACCGGCAAATCCCGGGCCGCCAATGCGGAACGTGCAAGCTTAACCTCTGCGTCACCAGGCCGGCTCCCGGCTTTTTGTGTTTATGAGGGGTATCCTTCCATTATGATCTGTAGGTAAAGAAACATTGGCCTAGGAACCAACATTCAATAAAGTGGTAGGTGTTCTTCCTTCACAAAACTCTGCATCTGAAGCCAGGACATGAACCTCAGCACCATCACAACCACCACTAAAAGACATCCAAGGCTATAATAAATTTATTTTGTTTTTTATGTTTTCTTTTTGAGGAAGATTAGCCCTGAGCTAACATCTACCGCCAATCCTCCTCTTTTTGCTGAGGAAGAGTGGCCCTGAGCTAACATCTGTGCCCATCTTCCTCTAGTTTATATGTGGGACGCCTGCCACAGCATGGCTTGATGAGCAGTGCCATGTCTGCACCGGGGATCCGAACCGGTGAACCCCGGGCCGCCAAAGCAGAACGTACAAACTTAACCACTGCGCCACCCGGCCAGCCCCCAAGACTATAATAAATTTTTAAAAAAGGAAAGAAACAAGTGTTGGTGAGGAGGTGGACAGATTGGAACCCTCATAAGTTACTGGTGGAAATGTAAAATTGTGCAGCCATTATGGAAAACAGTTTGGTGGTTCCTTGAAAAGCTAAACATAGAATTATCATATGACCCAGCAATTTCACCCCTAGGTATACACGCCAAAGAATCGGAAACAGGGACTCAAACAGATCCTTGTACACCAGTGTTCACCGCAGCATTATTCACAATAGCCCAAAGGTGAAAACCACCAAATGTCCATCAACAGAGGAATGGGTAAACAAAATGTGGTACATATGCACAACAGAACATTATTCAGCCGTAATGAAGTTCTGATACATGCTACAACATGGATGAACCTTGACAACATGTGTTAAGTATAAAAAGCCAGCCATGGGCAGGCTGGTGGCGTTAGTGGTTAAGTTTGTGCGCTCTGCTTCCCCAGCCTGGGGTTTGCCGGTTCGGATTCTGGGAACAGACCTACACACTGCTCATCAATGCCATGCTGAGGCAGTGTCCCACATAAAAGAAGTAGAAGGACTTACAACTAGGATATACAATTATGTACTGGGGCTTTGGGTAGGAAAAAAAGAAACAAACCAGACACAAAAGGACAAATATTGTATAATTTAGCTTATATGAAATATCTAGAACAGGAAAATTCATAGAAACAGAAGGTAGATTACAGGTTACCAAGAACTGGGGAGAGAGAGAATGAGGAGTTATAGCTTAATGGTTCCAGAGGTTCTGTTCCAGCTCACGAAAAAGTTTTGGAGACACACAGTAGCCATGGTTGCACAACATTGTGAATGTAATTAATGCCACTGAATTATACACTTAAAAAGGTTAAAATTGCAAAAAAAACAAAAAGACAATTGAGCCTACGTTTGTGTTACAACTACAACTCTATTGCAAATAGAAAGTGTTGCTATGGAAGGCGCAAACAGCTATGAGGGAGGATGGGTAGTCCAGGGAGAGTTCACGTAGGAGGTGGTGTTTAGGGAAAGTTGCCTAGAGGTGGTAATCATGAGCTGGGTTTTGGAGTAAGATTTCCCCCAAAACAGAAAGGAGAGGAAAAGTTCCCAGTAAGCTCTGAGACCTATTTTCCTAAGGACCGTGGAGCCACTGCCTAGGTTATCATCTTGGCTCTGTTACTAACTGGCTGTGTGACCTGGGGACCTCTCTGTGCCTCAGTCTCCTCCTCTGTGAAATTGTAATAGTAATCGTACTTCCTGCTAGGGCTGCTGTGAGGATTAAATTAGTTAACACATGTACAAGTGTATTTAGATCAGGACTTGGCACATAGTAAATGTTATGTGTTAGCTATTCTTGTTTTTAATATTTTTCTTTTTTATGAAAATAAATGTTTTTTGTGGAAAAAAATCTAAGAAGAAAATAAAAATCACTCAAAATTCTACCACCCAAGAGACAATCACGGCGCACGGTTTATTGCATCTTGTTCCACAATTTTTTGTGCATAAACACACACAGTTTATCCACGCACCTCTTGAGACTTTCTCCCTCGAACCTCGCACACCCCAGCGCTCGCACTGTCCTCTGAGCCCCAAGATAATGACGTTTACTTAAGACAAAGCCCCGCCCCTTGATCGCGGACAGTGAAACCACGCCCCCGACTGCCGCGCGCGCGCTCTAAGGTTCGGCGGAGCGTGCACGGCAGGGGCTCTCTCAAAACGGAAGTGACGTATGACGCATGCGCAGTGACGACGAGGAGGTCTCGGGAAACTAAGGGCCGGCCCCGGCACCGTGCTCGTTTCCGGAAGTGGCCGCTGCGGCAGCATGCTGGAGGAGCTGGGTTTGATCCCGACCATAGGCGAGGATGACGAGGTGGCGGTGGAGCCCGAGTCTGACTCCGGAGAAGAAGAGGAGGAGGTATGAGCCGATCGGGGGTGGGGTGGGGTGGGGTGGGGTGAGGGGGCGCGGCGGCGGGCGGTCAAGTCTCCTTGACTGCTTCCCTTCCCCGTGATTCCTCAGGTCCCTGCTCCCAGATCCTCAGCATCCCCTGCCAGGCCGGCAGGTCTCCCTGGAAGGGTCTCACCGGGACCCCAAGATCTTCCTCAGTTTGTTCCCCACTAGCTTTTCTTCACCTCCGCTCCTGTGCCGGTGACATTCCGTGTCGCTTTAGTGAACTCAATACCCATTCGGTGAACTGGTGTTTGATCTGGGTCTTGTGTAATAGAGATCCAGAGGTGAAGCCCGTCCTGGTTCCGGCTCAAGGAGCCATGGGTATCCATTCGTTCCTTAAGCCGGTATTTATTGAATACTTAAATTGCTACACCTAAGCATTTGGGAGACGGCAGTGAACAAGATGGGCAAGGACAGCACTCTCCTGAAGCTTATGTTGGGGGGAGGTTACAGACATTAAGCGCTATGGCGATTAAAAAGGGTGATGAAAAAGATGCCCACCCTTCAAAGATCCAGCCTGCGGAGTTTCCCCTCTGCGGCTTCCTCTGCCTACCGACACCTCCGTTTGGGTGTCCCATGGCCTCTGCAAATTCACCTTCTCCAAAGCTGAACTCTGGTCTCCCTTACCCTCTTAACCTGCTCCGTCTGGAGCCAGAAACACTGGGGTCGTCCTTGACAGCTGCTCCCTCCTATGTTCTGCAGGCTAGCTCAGGAATCTCTCTGAAGCTTCTCCCCCTCTCTCCAACCACACTGCTCCCCCTCTAGACCAGGCCTCTGCCATCTTGTGCCTGGATACCCACAATTCTAACATATCTGGTCACCTGCTGTTTCTCTTGCCCGCTTCCTCTAGTGCATTCTCCACTTAGCAGCCAGAATGATCTTTTCATTTCTTCATGGAAAACTATCATAAAAAAGGACTGAAGCAAATATGGCAAATGATAATGCAAAACTTCAGGTGTGAAGTGCTATACAACTATTGATAGTTATACTAGGTACCTGAGAAAAGATGTATGATCATTACTAATAATGAAGTTTAGCATCAGAGTTCTTGTGAGATTGTTTAACTCAAGTAAGAAGAAAAAGTCAGTACAGCACTTTTTAGTTCTTGGGGTTTTTTCTTCTCAATTTCTTTTTCCGAAGCCATAGTTCAGGCAGTTCTCCTTCCTTTCTAGTTTCCAATGTATGGGTTTTTAAAGTTATCTTTTTTTATTCATTTCTAACTTAATTGAATTGTGGTTGGAGAATAGTCTGTGTAATATTGATTCTTTGAAACTTATTGAAGATTTGCTCGAAGCCTACTGCGTGATCAGTTTTTGCAGCTATTCCATGTGTGCTCAGAAAGCATGCACGTTCTCTACTAGTGGGCACAGTGTTCTCTCTGTGTTCATTGGAGTGAGGCTTATTAATTGTGCTGTTCAGATTTTATACTGACTCATTTTTTGTCTGCTTGATCTATCAGTTACTGAGAGAAGTGTGTTACAATCTCCCATGGCGATTGTAGACTGGTCAGTTTCTTGTCATCTGTCAATTTTTGCCTTGTGGGGCCGGCCTGGTAGCGCAGAGGTTAAGTGCGCACATTCCGCTTCACCCTCCTCTTCATTAACCCAATTCTGATTTGCTTAAAGAATTTATCTTGATTTGTGTTCAAGAAATATCCAGTGCCGGCCCAGTGGCGCAGCGGTTAAGTGCGCATGTTCTGCTTTGGCAGCCCGGGGTTCACAGGTTCGGATCCCGGGTGTGGACATGGCACCGCTTAGCAAAAGCCATGCTGTGGTAGGCATCCCACGTATAAAGTAGAGGAAGATGGGCATGGATGTTAGCTCAGGGCCAGTCTTCCTCAGCAAAAAGAGGAGGATTGGCAGCAGATGTTAGCTCAGAACTAATCTTCCTCAAAAAAAAAAGATGAGGATTGGCAATGAATGTTAGCTCAGGACGAATCTTCCTCAGCAACATAAATAAATAAATAATTTTGCCTTGTATATGTCTGTTGTCTTATTGGGTGCCCTTGTTTCTTTCGTCCTTTTCTAGTGTTCTTTCATCTCAGTCCCATAGTCACCCTGCTTCTCTCTTTTCCCAGGGGCCCATTGTGCTGGGCAGAAAGCAGAAAGCCTTGCAGAAGAACCGCAGTGCTGATTTCAACCCTGACTTCGTTTTCACCGAGAAGGAGGGGATGCATGATGGCAGCTGGGCCATGGCTGACGTCATGAGCCAGCTCAAGAAGAAGGTGAGACTGATAGTGATAGGCGGTTCCAGGCCTTGGGCTGTTAGGGTTGGACAGTCGGTTTTGGGGTCTAGCCCTGACCCTGCTGCCTTTTTCCATCTATTTACATTCAGCAGATAGTGGAACTCCTTTGGAAATACGTGTGTAGTTTTGATGGGGTGGGGAGAGGTGGTCACAAATAACCCACAGTCTTGATTAAAACCAAAGTATAATATGTTGCAAAATGGATTTATTGCAGACTTTAGTTACAAACACGTTCATTGATCTGTAGATGATATTTAAAAGTAGTAGAAATATCTTAATTCCTTCATTATAAAATGTCCATGGAGCTTTTCTGGGAGGAGGAGATGGTGAGCTCAGACTATCTTCAGCGTATGTATTAAGAGAGACCCTTATTTTTTTTTTATTTAAAGATTGGCACCTGGGCTAACAACTGTTGCCAATCTTCCTTTTTTTTTTTTTTCCCCTGCTTTATCTCCGCAAACGCCCCCTGTACACAGTTGTATATCTTAGTTGCGTGTCCTTCTTCTAGTTGTGGGATGTGGGACGCCGCCTCAACGTGGCCTGATGAGCGGTGCCATGTCCGCGCCCAGGATCTGAACCTTGGGCCGCCGCAGCAGGAGCGCGTGAACTTAACCACTCGGTCTCGGAGCCGGCCCCAAGAGAGACCCTTTTTGATTTTGTGGATGTTAAAAAGTGTAAAAAAAAGCTCTTAGTTGGGGCTGGCCTGGTGGCGTAGCAGTTGAGTTTGTGCACTCTGTTTCAGTGGCCTGGGGTTCGCTAGATTGAATCCCAGACACAGACCTATGCACTGCTTATCAAGCTGTGCTGTGGCAGGCATCCCACATATAAAATAGAGAAAGGTGGGCACAATTATTAGCTCAGGTCCAGTCTTTCTCAGCAAAAAAGGATTGGTGGCAGATGTTAGCTCAGGGCTAATCTTCCTCAAAACAAACAAACAAACAAACAAAAAAGTGTTAGAGGAAATCTGATAATACCAGTCCAATGGTTTAGGAATACCACACATTACATATAAATTACTTGACTTAAAAAAATGGACGTAGCTATGTTAAAATGGTCTGTTTTTTAGGTGTCCACTCCTTGTTTTGAATGTTAGAAAGAAACCTTTGTTACATCACTTTATGACAAAGAACAATCTAGCAGACATCCTTAGTAGTGGTCTTTTTGACAGCTAGCCTTGCCCCACAGATACTGTCATTCTCTGTCTCTTGCCAGGGGATCTCATCTGGCATCACTATTGAGGGTCCTTGGTTCCCACACAGCACAGCCAAAGCTGCTGCAAATGTCACTGTCATTTGCTTGTTTGCCAAGATCTCATGCTTTTCTTTGAATCTGGTGATCAAGCTAGAAGATGCATGAAACTTATTTCCATTTCGTGCACTTCAAAGAGCAATATTGCCTGCTCAGAGCAGTTTAATCCAGGCTGCTGGCCCTTGTTCTGATTGAAATAAAACAGCGTTTCCTTTTCAAGGTCATCTTGAGAGGATTTCTTTATTCTTTATTTTCATATGGACCCCATGTAATTAAAGACTTGGTTTCATAAAGCTTACAGTCTGGCAGGGTAGAAAATAAGTAGACAGATGGTGACAGTTAATTGTAGTTGTGGTAAGTGCCATAGCAGTCCAGGGTGCTTTGAGCATGCATAAAGGGGGCCTGCCATTTCTAAAGTTTTAGCAATATCCAGCATTACCTGAATTTGCTTGGATTTCAACATTTTAATTAATAGGCTAAATTATGTGTGATAGGCAAGGGGAAGAGTCTTTCCAAGTAGCATTCAGATACAATGTGACATCTCTTGGTGATTGTATCATTCTGAATAGTAAACACCTTCTAAAATGTGGATGTTCCTATTGGTTCCAGGTAATTTAAAGTTTTTTCATAAGTAGACCATTTATTTAATCTTCTTTTTGCAATGAATAATATACGGATTGATTAATCTGTCCAAGGACAGACGAGCTTTTTGTATATTAGCATCTGAGACCCGACCCGCAGAGGAAGCTTGCTTTGTCTCTTTCCCATGTGTGTATTTCTTTCTCATCTCTTTATTTATATCTGCAGAGGGCAGCCACTACATTAGATGAGAAGATTGAGAAAGTCCGAAAGAAAAGGAAAACAGAGGTGAGAAAGCGAAGCAATTACTTTTCTTTGTAGCGAAGCCCTGAGCTTTACTCTCAGCACCACCCCACTGTTCCTCTTGAGGCCTGAGCTGCAGGGCTGCTGGTGCCGGCAGGCTGTGTGTGTGTTGTAAATATCCACTGGGAGCCCACATAGCGTTCTGCCCAGGCTGGAGGGCATAATGTTGCTCCTAATAGGTTTTGGATTTCCTGAAGTTTGTAGTCGCCTTGCTTTATTATAATTTTTTTCCAGGATAAAGAAGCCAAGTCTGGGAAGTCAGAGATGGAGAAAGAA